TTAATTAATTCGTTGTACTTGTATTGTTACGTTTTCTTAAATTAAGTTTAATTACGTTTCTTTTTTTTTTTTCTTTTTCTTCTCTCTCTCTCTCTCTCTCTCTATTACATATCATGCATTTCGTGATGCCAATGTTTTCGTTATATTTCAATTATCTTTCAAAAAGATTTTAATTTTAATTTTATTAAATTTGTTCGAGAGAAGCTGGATGTGAAATGTATATTGTGCGCATTGAATTTTTTCTCCTTTTTTGAATGTTCTTCGTTAATATTAAAAAATAAAGAAAGATGATGATTAAATTGATCTATTTAAAAGAGTATTTTCTAATTGTTGAACGATATATTTTAATTTTTTTTTATATATTTAATTGAGAACAGATTAAAATTATTTACATATTAATTATATATTTATTATTATTTATCTAAAAATATATTTGCAATGCATCGGTGGAAATTTTACTTCATATATAAATCATATTCCATATCCATGTATTTAATTGTCTTAAAATTAATTGCAATTTTTTTGTAACGTAATGATATCTAAAATTTTGCTTAAAATGAATTTAATTCAAATCAAAAGAAAAATATAATAAAATCTACAATTCTGGAATAATTAATAAATCTATTTGCATCATTTTTTTTTTTTTTTAGTATTTTCTATGTTTATTATAAATAATTTTTTTTTTTGCACAATAAAATTTGTTCTTTTTTAAATATTAAATTATAAGAGAATGTAATTCTCGTTGATAGTTAATCTTAATGGATCGTTACACGTTATATTGCATATGAGTAATAATTAGAAAAAAAAAAAAAAAAGATTATAGATAACGTAACATAAGTTATATAACAAAATCTACATATGTGGACAAAAGTGAGCGAAAAGAAAATTATAACGATTGTTACGTTGTATTTGTACGTGCGTGCGCATCTGTGTACATGCGTTTGTGTTAGATTTGTTAGAATTATTTTTTTTTTTCTTATTCACAATTAAATCACAACTTGACTTTAATTAGGCAATTTGTTGTAACAAAAAAAAAAAAAAAAGAAAGAAAGAAATTACAATTTGATCTATTCGATGGAATAGGATGGAAAAAAAAGAAGAGCAATGACGATGATCTCTACTAGTCCCTGCCAGTAATTTATCGACAATAAAATTTTGATGTTTGTTGTTTGCTTTTGTTGATGTATATAAAATACCGCTTACGCTTAAACAATTACCCTGCTGTGTAATGCTTTTTTTTTTACCGCGCTGCTTATATCTACTTAAATCTTGATTTGTTGAATTTTGTTCTAGCTGACAGTGCAGTATGTTGTGTCGCTTAAAGTTCCTTCGCCATCCCAATACAATAAGCTTTCCGCTTTACTGCATTGGATAATTCTGCTAATACTACTGCTGTCTGTAAAAAAATGTGGTTAGTAATATTTGGTTTTAGGTGATTCCTACGTTCGTTGCATCGTTCTGTATGCCATGTGTATATTTGACTGATCTGTATATATACATACATACATATGTACACACACACACACACGTACACGCACACACTGTATATACAGACATACGTACGTACGTAAGTACGTATACGTACCCAGACATGCACACACATACACGTACAGATACACGCAGATATATATATATATATTAAGTACCTTTCTCATATCCTACCTAGCTCTCTCTTTCCGGAGCCCATCAACTGTCTCTCTTACCCTGTCCTATCTCATTTCCGCTTTTCGTGTAACGCATATATCATCTCAACTCCTACTATTTGATCATTAAATGCATCCCCTTCCACATGTGAAACACACATTGACACATTAAGCGCCGCGCGTATCCCGTGCGCGCGTTAATTTTGTATGTATAATCTGCATGTATATACGTATGCGTATACGTATAAGATACATATATATATATAGATGCTTGCATCCATGCACACGTACGTACATACATACATACCTATATCTATCCTTAATGCGTGCATCATAAATACGGTCATTTTGTACGAGTTGTATATTACACACACATATATATATATATATATGTGTGGATATATATATATATATATACATTGATCTGTTAATCTGTACGTGTACGTATACGTGTACGTGTTTTGTATATAATACCTTGTATAATAAATTACATTTAGTGGGTATATAAAAATGTATTGTACATACAGAGAGGATCAATCGATCAATTCTAAAATGATTAATAATATTTTGTTTCGTAACAAAAGTGTTTTGAATCGTCAAAAAGAAAAATTAATTGTTATATCGTTTGTTGTTGAGATGAAAATGAAAGGTGTCAAATTTTTATTTTACAAGTGAATACAGTAGTAGGGTCAACGATGCATATAATATAATGAGATTTGTTATCAATTAATCAATTAATTAATTAATCGATAGAAAAAGAGAAGAAAAAGGGGTTTGATAAACGAAAGCTCAAAGACGCTCAAATACTGTGAAACTCTCGCGGTATATAAAACGAAAATAAAAATAGTCGAAAAGCGAAAAATCTAAGGAAAAAAAAAAAAAAAAATGAAATAGAATCGTGTACGCAAATTTATACTGTAGGAATTTAATAAATATCATATAGGGTAACGATTGGGTGTTGTGTTATTTGGTCAGGCTGGACGTGGCCGTGGAGTAGTGCCGCGTGGCCGAGTCGGTGGCCCCCAAGTCCGTGGGCCAGTCAGGGGGGGACGCAACCCCGCAACTTCAGGGGCTCGTGGGGTCCAGCGGCTGTCCGCTCGTGGGGGGGTCCGCGCCAAGGGAAGTTTACCAGGTGAGGATGGTCTGTATCTCCACAATAAATCAATCATCTTTTAACATTATTTTCATTATACGCTACTCTTTTTTCCCTTCTACACTCTCTTTTGCGTCTTCTGCTTATCCCCCCCCCCCCATACATACTACTACATTTTTCATACAAGACTGTCTCACACACACCTTTTTACTTTTCGCTCTGCTTTCTCTCTATCTTTTTTTTTTTTTTTTTTATTACCTTTCTCGCAAAAAAAAAAAAAGAAAAGAAAAAAGAAAAGAAAAAAAAAGATTCTGTCAAACTGATCATTTTTATTCACGCACGGTGCGAGTCTATTAAACATTTTTTATGTTTATCGAATTTAATTAGCACTTCGACGCGCAATTTGGCAATTTTTACTTTTAGTTTTGCTTTCAGTACAATTCATTATATTTATTTTCCTTTTGTTTTACAGTTGACTGTTTTTTTCCCTTTCTTTCTTTCTTTCTTTCTTTCTTTCTTTCTTTCTCTCCTCTTATCTTTTATCTCTTTTTTCCTGGTATGACTGCGTTTCCCGCGGAATGTCGCGCATACGAAATAATTTGGATGAGAATTTAGGCGTGTCGTATATAATTTATATCATCGATGTTCGATTTTGTTTCGAGTTATTATTCAAAAGAGCATCAAGTTCTTTAATTGAATTGTCTCTGTCTCTTGGTTGAAATCATAAACGGTTGGCTACGCCTTTTCCTCCTCCCTCCCTCCCTCCCTCCCTCTTTTAACTTCATTATTTTTCTATTAAATTTTCGGCCGGTTCTTTTTTGCATTACGTTTAAACGAGATGTAATAACGCGTAATAACAGTCACGCTCGATCGATTGAATATTGTGAAAAGTGCAGTTGTTACAAAAAAATATACACCGAATAATATATAAATTTTGATCTCTTCTCGATCAGTAGAAAAGAAAAGAAAAAAAAAAGAGTAATTGCTCTACAATTTCAAATTGTTTTGTTTTGCCCACGAACTAATCGTAACTTTATCCATTCTCAAATAGACTCAGTTATTCCAATCGGACAGTTTCCTCAATGATCCACCATTCGCCTCGTAAATCGTGAGATTAGCAAGAATCGAAGACATATAACCGATTTCTCTTCTCTCGATCGTTTCGACAAACGACGATTTTTTTTTATTAGCGGCGTTCCTTCAGCTTCTTTTCGAAACGAACAACAGCACTATGCAGAATATCGTTCGGTTGGTATCATCGGAGTCGGTTTCCCCACTGTTGTTTGTTCTTTTCCAATCGTTTCTTTCATCGTACACGAGTGTTTGCACACAAACACCTACGCACGCACACACACACACACACACACACACGTTATAATATATCGAGAAACGATGCTAATTCTGTTACGAAGGACCGGCCGATTAAGCAGCGGTTACTTATTCTACCCTACCCGTGTCCAACTAAGACTGATAGCGAAATAATTGTACTTGCTGTGAGCTTGCTTTGTGTGTATGCGTGTGTATGCGCGTGCGTGAAGAGTTGCCCGTTGCAGAAAAATTCGTTGGAGAGTTACGTGACCGTACATGGTGAAAATTTTAACGTGACAAACATATCTTTTTTTCTTTCTATGTACAGCAGGTAAACGAAAATTTGACGGGGGTCACCAGAACCAGGGGGAATCTAAGCGTCGCTTCCAGAGCAACTGGGGAAACCAACCCCTCGCCCAACAACCACTGGGCAATGCGTACGGATTGGCGAGTGTGAATGGTGGCAGTGGTGGTGGTGGCGGCGGTGACATAGGATTCGGAGGTAGGACCGCCACTCTTGGCGGTGTTTCCAGCGATGATCACGAATGGTACCAAGACTCCTACCAGTCATGGAGCTAACTTCTGCAAGTCTGTGAGTGAATACGCACGCACGCACTCATTTAAGTACGCACGCAATCACGCATGACGAACGAACGAACGAACGAACGAACGAACGATCGATCGATCGATCGATCGATCGAGAGTAATAAAGTAATAAAAAAAAAAAAAAACAAAACAAACAAACAAACAAAATGAACAACCAATTTCGAGTTGACCTTATGCACATAGGAGGAAGAAGCAAAGTGAAAAAAAATAAAAAAGCGAACTGAAACAAACAAAACAGAAAGGAAGAAGATAATTGCAAAAGAAACCTGGAAAAAAAAATTGGAAAGGAAAACAAGGAAAAAGAGTGAAACGGGAAAAGGTTTTTTTTATAAAGTACAGAAAAATGGAGAAAAGATGAATCGAACGAGGTTACGTAATCTATAATAATATAAATAATGCTGTTTACTTTCAATCGTCAATTTGGCAATTTGCAAATGTTTTTAACGCCTATTCAATCATCATCAAATGAACGAACAAATATGAGAAAGCGCGTGAAGCGTCGTACTAGGCCTCACCACCATCGCCCGCTGTTGTCGTCGTGACTATATATATATATATATGTATATATATATATATGTACACATATACATATATATATATAAAAATAATATATGTATATATATATATATATATATACAGTGATGTGCCACTGGGACTAATTACTACATCGGAGTGACCACCCAACAACCCACCCCGTACTATTATTATTATAATACACATATATATATATATATATGTATATACATACATACATACATGTATATACATATGCATATGTACATATACACATATATATCTGTATGTATTATGTATATATGTATGTATGGATATGTATACGTATATGTATATATTACATAATGTGTTTATGTGTGTGTATATATATATATATATATATATGTATATGTATACACTAATCTAAGTACTACTACATTGTCACATTGTTTACTGCCAAGTGATACAAAGATCAGCGATGTTGACATTGGGATTGTGATGGCTTGTATTAATTAAGAAAAATCACGGAAGCCTGCGATTTTATTATGATGCGATTCGACTTTTTTGTGTGTATGTGCTAGGAACGCGTGTACGTAAAATGGATAGAGGTCGTGGGGGGAGGGGGGGGGAGAAGGAGCATGCGTATGTGAAAGACAAGAAACAATAGAGGTAATAGCTGTAAAAGTGAAGAAGGATGGAAAATGTGGTGTTGGGAGAAGAATTTTTTAAGGGAGACCATATTATTATAGTTAGATGAAGGTGAAGACGAAGAGACACGAAATGAGAAGAAATGGGAAAGGAGGCATATATAAGTCTATAAGGAGAGAGAGAGGAGAGAGAAGGTTGGTACGAGAGGAAAGTGAGATTGATAGCAGATTTATCGAGCGTGAGCTAAATATTACAAGTAAATAGTGATCAATTCGAGTAGCTTTTTCTTCTTTTTGCTAGATAAGGAAAGGAAAAACTTAGTAACACGTTTTGCGAATGCATGCTTGCATAGTGTGTGTGCGCGCGTGTGCGTGTATCAATGTGCGTGTCTCTGCACCTCTGTATGTGTGTTTACGCGCGCGCGTAAAGAGTGAGTGTATTGTGCATGTGGGTCTGCTGCAAGTGTGCATATAGGTACACGCGTATGTGTATGTGTGATGCGTGGAGCGCGCCAAGCGCCGCTAGACCTTCTATTGTTGGTCTATAATGTGTACAGTCAGTGAAACTATTATTATTATTATTAAGGGTCAGGCAGGTTTTACAAGAATAAGAAAAAAAAAAAAAATGATGCGGTTAGAAATCAACGGTTCTACGTGAAAATACACATTTCACATTTGTTCGATTACGATCAAGCGACAAGGATCAGAATTAAAAAAAAAAAGGAAAAAAATATATATATATATATATATGTATGTGTATATATATATATATATACATATATATAAATCAAAATGATAAGAAGAAAAAAAAAATTATTAAAAAAGGCAACAAAATTGATTAGGAAAAGATTCGTTTCTATAAGAAAATTCCTAATGACAATGTCCAAATAGTAGAAAAATTAGAATTTAAAATTTATAGCATATTTATCCTTTTTTAAGTTTTCGTTTTCTCTTTTTAATTCTCTTTCTTTTGTTTCTATTGTTTTTCTCCTGTTTCCTTTATTTTTCTTTTTTGTTTTATTATTATTATTATTATTATTATTATTATAATTATTATTATTAATTATTAATTAATTATTAATTATTATTATTATTATTATTATTAAAAAAAAATCGAACAAAGGACCGTTGGATATGTACGGGCGAGCAAAACGTTTAGGAGGAAAGATATATCTTATATGTTTCGTTTGTATTTTTATCTTAAATTTTACTTTCAAAATTTTTATGTTGCGTTTATATCGCGTGGTTCTCTTCTTACCACATGCAAAGAAGTTTGTTTCTTAGAACGACTGACTACAGAATTTGATAATGATAGTCACGGATTGATTTAGGATGTGTAAAGTGTACGCAGCGTTTACAAATGCATGAACACATACAGCACACATTTTGAGTGTTGACTCGTTGTTATTGTTAGCCTGTTAGTTAATTAGTAAGAGTTGCAAATGCGGGCTATAGTTGGTCCCTGTCCCTGGAGCCCAGACACCCCCTGTTCTGGAGAATAATTGAAATGGAGAAAAAGAAGAAAAAAAAAAAAAAAAAACAATAAAAGCGAAGCCTAATAGCGTTTTACACATTACCCCCGAATTGTGACGGAAAGATAGTTAAAAAGTTGCGATAAAAGATCATTTCATTTGTAACGAAGTGACTGCATATCACTGTATTGTCTTATTATGAGTATAGCATCAGACGAAAAAAAAAAAAAAACTAGCATGTACTTTGGCCCTATTGGATACAATGCACACAGAAGTAGGTATGAGAGAAATGCATTTCCGTGTCCGATTAATAAAAGGAATGAGAAGGAATCAAAAACTTAAAGGCAAGGAACAAAAAAAAATGCCCACCATTCCTGTATTCATTAAAAGCTCGAATCGATCAATTTTCATTAACGACAATCTATCGTGATCGATTTGTTTAGAACGACTCGTATCGACCAACGTTTTGTTGCACATTTTATTCGTAATTACTCAAGTCCGATTTTATTTCGTCATTGATACAAATTTGGTAGCGATGACGCAGCAGTAATCTAACGATCGAAGTTCCCTCACTTCTACTTCCTGTCCCCGGTCATGCGATCGTGTAAATGAAAGAAATAGATGCATGGATAAAAAAGGGGAAGGGGAGGGTATGATAAAGTATTTGTATGAAGCTGAATGATGAAAAAATGGACGGATGAGCAAGCAAGAAAGAAAGAAAGAAAGATGATTGTGTGTGCGTGTGCGTGTGGGGAAGGAGGAGCGAGCGAATGAGAGCGAGAGAGAGAGAAGGAGAAAGAGAGTGAGAGAACGAGAGGAATGAGAGAAAGAGTAGAGGGAAACGAAAGAAGCCAGCAATCGAAAAGAAAAAAAAAAATTACTGTCCTTATACATACGAATCAATATTATTACCTTTCATTCCTTTAATCCTTTTTCCTCGTAATTCATTATTCTCACTTACATATTTTATACCTACCTATTCTACTTACCTACACATCCTATTTATAAAAACATAATATCAAGGATATAATAATATTAATATTAACGATATAATAAGAATGATATTGCTAATTATACTGAGTGGGTTTTTGTAACACAATAACGTTTCAATATAAAAGAATTCTGGTTTTCCTTCGAAATTATAATAGAGGAAGATAATATACTAATATAAGGCAGGCAGGTAGGAAGCAAGTATGCGAGAAAGAAAGAAAGAAAGAAAGAAAGAAAGAACGAAGAAACGAACGAACGAACGAAAAAAAAGAGGAAATGTTCAGCTTGCGGGGGCAAGGAAGCATAACCTGGCAAAAGCGGAAGCAGTTCACGGTGACGAGACTTTAGACTGATCTAGGTACTAGCGTTACGATATTGGCCCTACCCCAGCGTTTAAGGCGCCCCAATATTATATCATTTATCCTTTGCTATTTTATACAAGTGACCGGTGTGGCAGCTGGGGTGCCTGGGGGTTATCGGTCGCATTTAGGATAATGCACCACTGTGGCTGACGATGCTGTAGCCGCGCGCACCCTTTTACCCGGTCATTGCCCTAATTTGCGGCACACATCCTTGGGAACTTGACTTTTCTTGGTTGGCCCGTGTCAAGCGGATGTTGTGTGATTTTTGGGTCGCTCAATTTATGTTAATAACGACCCAAAAAGACGTGTTTTTTAATTATATATAAATATATTATATATTATATTCCTGCGGATATGCATTTTGTGACGTGATGTTATTTAGCACTAATGAGGAAAACAACAAAAGTGAACAATTGTACGGAAAGAAAATGAAAGAAAAATGTTAAAAAAAAAAAAATGAAAAAATGTACGTAACACTATTCACATGAACATATATATGAACGGTTTATGTTTCTCGCGCCACACATGCCACATGTCAGCTCCATGGCTAAAAGTGAACGATAAATTTCAAATGACCAAATTCCTTTATCGTTGATAATTGCGTTTTCAGATTTCTTTTTATTATTCATCATCTTCCAATTGCTTTGCTTTTTTTTTAATTCCTGCAATTTTAAAAGTTGTCTCTAATTTTAGTGTGACGTAGTTAAATGTAATAATTATTGATGAATTTAAAATAATGTTGAAATGGTTCCTTTTTCGGGCTAGGAGCTTGATTTAAAGTGTCAAAGATTTTTGTGTATGACCAGATGTATTCTACATGTCTCAATAAACAGTTGTATGTGAATTACCTTTCTTAAACGATGCTACATTTATTTATATACCGTTAGAACACGTACTGTTTTCTCCTCTTCTTTTATCCACATTATCCATTCTAGTTTTTGCTTCTATGCGTATATATTTGAAGCTGAAAGTATTCTGTATTAATGCAAAATGTATTTTTTTTTTGTTACATTTATCAATCTAATGATTTATAAATTTCAATCAAGTTAAGTTTGGAATATCATTAATATTATCATTAGTTGTATTTTGGTGAGTAAGACTTGTAAAAACAAAAAAAATAAATCGAGCAAAATATAAAAATCGATATCATTATTACGATTTAAACATAGTCACAAATATGAAAGTTGAGGCAAATGATAAGCACACATGAAATTGTCCCACGAGTCATATTTTATTTTATTCATAACTATCATCTGCATATATCAAACTAAAATCATTTCGAAAGAGGTTAATTTGGAAATTATTATTTGTGTATTTTATATATACTTTATATGTACTTTATTAATCGCAAATAGTAATGATTTGAGTAGTAACAATTTCATTATCAGTTATATATGTCCATAATTCTTTTTTTAAATTTGATCACGCTCAATATACAATAAGTTATTTTTTTCTGAAAACAAATAACCATATTCATAATTAACTATTCACACGATTATTAAAATATAAATTTATTCGTGAGTTTATGAATTAGAATATATATTTTTTTTTTCGAAAATGTATTCGATAAATGTATATTACAGGTATTTTACATGAGATAAATAAAAATTTGCTATATTCTTACTGTACCTAGATCTCTTAAGTTGATTTTCCTCCCCACTCTTATGGATTGACTTTAGCGACCTCTAACCCATCGTTGGGGCGTGTATAGATACTAGGTAGCCAGTACCTTCGTAGAAGTTGACCGTTTAAGAATTGTTTAACGTTACGCTTATTGCACCGTTCCGTCAATTTTTCCTCAGTTTTTTTTTTATTTCGTCGATTACTTGCCGATCTTGTGCATAAATATTTATCCGTATATTTACACGCAATATATTATATACCGGCACGTATCAAGTACCTGTCTTACTATTCTTAATTATAATTTAATTTTCAAAACGATATCGTGTTCATTTTATATTTACGTATTATCAGATGTAACGATAATTTAAAAAATCGTGACAGTATGAATCCTATAAAAGAAATTCAATGTATAATAAGCGCGTTTTCGATACATAAGTGCATTATTTTTTTATCCTCAATTATCTTTTCACGCTTCAATGTGTCATTTCAAAAATATTGTCGTGTGTAATATGTAATATAAGATGTATATACGTATATATTGTACTTTCAAATGAAACAAAAAGAAACGAACATTTATAACGAACAACATTGAAGAATTTAATCCTATAAATTTAATGTGTTGGAATATCAAGAATAAAATTTCAAATTTGAACACAGTTTTTTAAGGTATGTATCTATTATATGTATATACATATATATATATATATGTACGTTTTAAATATAATATGCATGCTTTGTCAAAAAAGTACTTTTTTGACAAGAAACAAAAAATTCCTGTATTTAAATAATTGATTCAATGTATTGTAAATAATTTTAATTTCAATTGTATATTTATATTTTATTAGAGTCAGAGAAAAGATTGTTTTCAGTATATGACAAGTTGCACATGATATATGGAATGATATATGATACCGCGGAATTTATTTTTCAAGATTGTTATTAAAAATTGCCTTATATAAATTTATCATATCATCATTATAAAACATTCTCCCTCTTTTTTTTATTTCTTATTTACTTTTTTATGACAAATTTATGACATGATAGATCGTTTACATTCATATGGAAAAGAGGTTAGTACATGGTGTGCAAATTTATCACTTATCACTAGAGGCGCTGCTGTTATTGACCCATATCGAAATACATACCATATATATATACAAAAAGAAGATGAGAAAGCGACTCTGGACGGCGGTTAGTCAAAGCGCTTTAAACATTAAAAATTCTCTTTTATTTTTATTTTTTCAAAGTTACGTTAAAGAGTAATAACAATTAAGTATATTGTAACAAGAATGTACCATAAACGAATCCAATCGAATATATATTGTAATCAAAATTATGAAAGTGGTAACGCAGAATCTCATAAAAAGCACAACGCTTTATGCTCCGAGGGTGTGGCAAATTAAACGTAACACGTGTTTAAGATCTTAACTTGATATACATTCGTATGTTTATGTTATATTATGTTATATAGAATTCGTTTCTTTATGTACTTTATTGCATACAAATTGCGATTAAATAACATAATAGATTTCGCATTTGCAATGCATATCACAACCACCCATTATTTTATTTTTCTTCTTTTCTGAATTCATCAATATAAAAATCTGTAAAAATATTCATTTATTAACTCACAGTTGATATAGTTCGTATAATTGTATAATTTTTCATATGCAACGCTTTTAAAAATAGAATATAATATTTATGTGATTATATTTAATTCAATTATTAATTTTAACTTTACATAACAGATTGAATTCATATAATTCCAGATGATTTCCAGAATCAATGTTTCGCATTTTTTCTATGCGTGGAATAGAGACTGACGATATGATAAAATCACAGTGGCCGCTGTTAATGGTTTCTCTACAATTTTATTATAATAAACAAGAAAAATATAGTGGTTTCGATCGAATCACTGATTGAACAAAATGCAAATGTGTATTCTTAGGATATAGTATGGCTTCGGTATTTTGGCATGTCTCTGGGAATAATTTGATTTCTGCTACTTTTATCTTGCTCTTGCTACTTTGTCCTCACAGTAGTACAGGTTAGTTATAACATATAAATTATGATCAATGACAATAATCATCTTTTTTTACAAAAAGAATAGAACAAAGAGAAGTAGAGAGATATATAGTAAAATGATGACAATATGTGGCGTACGGTTTATCATGTGGAATATTTAATAGTTTTATTGAAATATTGATTTATATCATTTGATCGGTGAGAAATAAGAACACAGAGACGCGTGATTACTTTACAGAGTGCGATCAAAAGTTTATAAGCACACCTGATGGACCACCGAATGGAACATTTCACGCGCCAACGTTAATTAATTACGACGGAGATTCCCGACAATGCGTATACACATTTTTTGCTGGACCACGACAACGTGTCGAATTGATATTTAATTCGTTCGGCCTTCGGGGAACACCTCCAGAGTAAGTAGTTTTTTTTTTTACTCAAGCAAATATAATTACATTACGTTACCACATTTGTGTTTAAATTTTCTCTGTGCGTTTATCAATTTTTTTGTAAAATTTTCCAGTGGATCTGCTGTTGGAGAATTACCCGCGTAAGTATTTATATCTGTTAGGTGTCGACATAATTTGCTTGCGGCCATACCATTTTTGTTCACAGATGAACTAGGAAAAACTTGGTTTTCAGTTGTGTCCACGAATATCTGGATGTATATGCTGAAATACGATCGGAGAATACCAGCAAATTGGTGGAAACGCCTTTCGGTGGTCGTTTCTGTGGCCCGATTCCACCTCGTAGGCGTGTTTCTCTTTACCAGGGAATTGCTCTAAGTTTTTACACTGATAAAAATATTACGTTACCTACCCTGTTCAGCGGTACTTATGCCTTTATCAATTCATGTATGTTCATTATTTAACTTGTACTTTAATTTTCAATTAAGCCTCATATACTGCTGGAAAGAAGTTTCGCAAAAGGAACGCGGGTTAGATTGGTTAATATGGAAGGAAACTATTTTCACTCGCATTTTTATTTATCACATATACTAATTCGATTGACAGAGAAGAGCAATAAAACGATGATCTTAACTTTTACCAATGCATTGGTAAAATTCAGAATATTCTAACATATAATATAATGACATCTTGAATGATTATTCTAACGTAACTTTATAAATAATTACGATATTCAGATTACAATTTTTCTACTATTATGTATCGTGCAGTGCCAGGATTGTCAACAAAGCGTTTGAAGTGAGGTTAGGTGATCCTGGCGAAGAGCCCTCTTGCCATGAGACTTCTTTTCAGCATTAAATAGTTGAATACAAACAATGTTACATATTATACGTATATAAATAAAAATCATATTTATTTTCGTTTTCATTAATTATCGTTCTCAGCTGAATACGAGGTGGGAACACCAGCTCCCAGCACACCATGCTCTTTCACAGTAGATTCGGAACATAAACGCAATGGTAATATATTATCTCCTACGTATCCTGGCACATATCCAAAGGGTATTATATGCAGTTATCAATTTATCGGGAATAAATCGCAACGAGTGAGGCTCGAGTTCCGGGACTTTGATTTGTTCTTCGGAGGTCAACAGTATGTAAATATTTGATCGTTAATTAACAATATCAGTTGAGCAGGAGTGCGTGATTTGATCGTTAACTTGATTTTCATATGTCGAACAGTTGTCCTTTGGATTACGTAAAAGTGTACGACGGTTTAAACGATACGTCGGCGGTTATAGGGACTTACTGTGGTCAACAACGAAATTTGGTGTTGTACTCGTCGGAATCAAGTTTGTACGTGCTGTTTGTTACCCTTCAACGTACGGCCAATACGCAAAATCGTGGATTCAAGGGCATCTTTGAATTCTCGGAGAGTTTTGTTAAATTAGGTAAGTCGAAACTTTCTAGTCTAGAAATTCGCAATAAATTCAAAATAGAATAAAAATTCTAAAATTCAATACAAGATATTTAAATCGATTTAAATCATGTAAAGGATAAACATAATAGAGGATAATTTGAAAAGGCTTTTTTTTATACGTCATTCTTTTGTTTTATATATAATTTCGAGTGTGTCTCTGTCTACTCAGACTTCATAACCGCTAACAAGGGTGAGCACATACGAGGATCGGAATGTGATCAGAAGATTTTAAGTAAAAAGGAATCGTCTGGACAAGTTGTTAGCCCAAACTTTCCATTTCCGTACATACCGAAGGTCGTGTGTCGGTATTTCATTTATGGAATGCAAGATTCGCAGCATCTCGAGCGTGTTCGATTAGAGTTCATAACATTTAATATACCAAAGAATAAGACGATAGGAGAGTAAGTATAATTAATCAATTAATATTTAAATATTAATTCTTAATTCTTTTCCTTCTTCATATTTATCTTGTTTCCTTACTTCTCGGCCCACAGTTCATCTTGTACCGATGGATATTTAAAATTATACTTAAAAGGGCAAGAAGCGACGGATTCTTATGACAAATTTGATTACGAATTGTGCGGCGTGAAGAGCAATCCGAACCATGTAGTTAGTGATGGGCCGAGACTTGTGATGGTGTTTAGCAGCGGGGAATCTCAAGGGCAAGGTTTTAAAGCACGGTAAGTATTAAAAATCGTATTATAGAAAAATGAGCCATATATGACGTATTTATATTTACAGGTACACCTTTGAAACGGAATACAAAATACCGGGCACCGCTGCACCCGATGGCAGCTGTACATTCACATACCGCAGTTCCTCTCGCAAAAGAGGAGATTTTAATTCTCCTCGACATCCTAGTAATTATCCAAGCGATACAAATTGCACATATTTATTCTTAGCGACGCCAAACGAGCAAGTTACCTTAATATTCGATTATTTTAAAGTTCGAACGAAAAATATGAACATGACGGATGGACATTATGGGTATGTTACTTCGGTTCTTTCCTGTTCTTGTCATATTCTATAATTCATTTTTTTTTTTATATATATATACGTATATTTTATCAGAATGGAAATTTGTCAAGATGATTGGTTGGAAATATATAATATGTATCGGGACAATACGGAAAAATTGATAGGTAGATACTGTGGTAACACGGCGCCAGGACCTGTCGAGTCGACTCTTGGTGCTCTCGGTTTAAGAGTAATTCTGCATTCGGACTCGGAACTGGTTTATAGCGGTTTTAAAGCGCGTTACACGTTCGAAGTGGCGAAACCTATATTTGGAGGTAACCGCGTATTTTCGATGTAAAACGAAAACAAAACAAATCTTTTTTTTTTCCCCTCTTCTTATATATTTTTTTACGTTACAGATTGCGGATCGAATATAAGTAGTGTGAATTATGGTATTATCGCCAGTCCGAATTTTCCAAACAAGTACGATGGACCAGCGAGAAATATGGCAAGTAAAACTTGCAATTGGTTTATAAGAGTTCGACCGAATCAACGAATATTGTTAAATTTTGAATCGTTCTCGGTAGAGGGTGATCAATCAGGTATATCTTTTTCTTTTCTCTCCCTTTGAACATGTTTCACATGTTTATCTCTGAAGATACGATATTAAAAGAAACGTTTTCCTTTAAGTTCGTGGTTGTCCAGCTGCGGTGCTGCGCATGTGGTATTCCGTATCGTCCACGCCTATCGAGTTATGCGGCGTGAAAACGTCAGATAAATGGACTTATCTTTCTGAGGATAACAACATGCGACTTAGGTTCGTTAGCTCGTAAAGCTCGTTCCGTTCTATTCATATTCATATAAATTACGAATTGCGATCGTTCGCGGCAGTACTCGAGCATTGATCGATATTTTTCCCTCTTTTTCCTTCCCTTTTTTTTTTTTTTAGCTTTATATTAGCCGACAAAGCGGTTGGACAACTGGGATTTAAGGCAATATGGACGGAAGTAAGCACAAATACCGACTGCCAGAATCAATTTTTGTGCAGCAAAAATAAATACTGCATTGCAGAATCGCTTCGATGTAATGAGGTTTATAATTGTGGCCCAGCTGATGATTCGGATGAAGAAAATTGTAAGTTTCGTAAACGTTAGAGAAATATCAAGCCAACTTCTTAGAGATATGTGATTGGATTCTACTCCTTTTATTTTTGCTTCTACCATCATAGTTGTATAAATCTGTCGGATATACGTTCTCGCCTCGCGTGGACGTCGTCCGTCATACGCTATACGTGAAAATGTATATACACAACATATGCGCACATCTTCGAATTCAATATCAAACATGTATCTTTCTTCGAATCTCGTTCAATAGATACTTGATTATTCTACTACTCTACAAGTTCTTCAAGCGTGTTCTCTTTTTACCGAATACAGTATCTACTATCCTTGATTAATCCTTCTCACGTATATGTTATGCATGCATATACGCGAGTGTGTATGTATGCACGCGTCTACTATAGATGTATACACATATACAATCACGTGATATTAATTAAAATTAATCTGTTATGATGTACGTCGATACGAATTGATTATCGATTGCGTGAATTGAAACAATATATATATATATATATATATATATATATATATATATATATTATATATATATATATATATATAT